ATGCTAGTTGGACAAACTAGGAATCGATCTATTAAAGTTAATCAAACTCACCTTTTAATTTAAGTCGAACACCCAAGTGTACTTAGTCTTAGCATTCAAGCCCCTCTTTAAATGTAAATTACCCAACTTTCCAAGGTAATTCAATCAATTATAAAAACTACCCCTAACACTTGGGTAGATTAATGTCAATAAGTGATTTCTTATGAACTCAACGTTTAATAGGCAATCAACATGTTGTCTTTACGTACTTTTTGTTATAGAAATTATGTATTAAATAGCAAAAGCTTATTAAGTTTTGTTATATACTTTTTGTTTATTTAGTAGAATTTAAATATAGCCTTCTTATATTGATGAACCTTGACCCACGCATATAAAAAGAGGGTGTTAAAAGATGAGCTTGGCACATCTAATCATTTGTACTCAAGTATTGTACTTTTTAAAATCTAATAAAATCTCATGTATTCTCACTCCAAATTCTCTCTCTCTAATTATTTCTTGTTAGTTTGCTATTCTTTTTTGTAAGATGCTAATGTTATCAATAAATTTGGACCAAACAGCTAGGATCAGGATTATTTGAAGGTATCAAACATGGATACATCCCTCAAAAAAAAATTGTTAAGACACTCAAAAGTATTCAAGATTATGTAAAGAAAACAAACATGGATATGGCATCCCTTAAATGGTATCAAACATGAATAAGCAAGCATTCAACGACGTATGGTTGAAAGAAATATTATCCAAGCATAAGAATTACACGTGCATGAATATAAGTTTGTTTCTTGTATGAACATTCACATCACAACAAGATGGCATGCCTTGAGAAGTTATAATTTTGGACTTGTAAAAAATTTGCATGGGCCCACACAATATCCTTCCAAATGTAACCATTGAGTGTACAATTAACATTTTAAAGAACAAGAGTTTGAATCGAACATTGAACTGATTTAGTTATGCTCCAAGTGATAGTTGGATTTATAAGCTCAATAAAAATAAGAGTAGATGGCAAAATACATAATAAAAGAGGATAATATTTATCCAATCATTGATATAAAAGAATGGACATATAGGTGAGGATATTACCAATATAAATCAAAATTGGGAAGAGAAAATGTAGAAGTGCCACGAGGATATTAGTTAACAAGGGAAAGGCGGAGAAAATGTAAAAGTGCCACTAGGATATTAGTTAACAAGGGAATACTGTGGAAACAAGGAAAAATTAATAAGACTGGCTTCATAGCATTGACCCTTATGGTTGACACCAAACAAATCATAAACAATCAAACTAAATGTGGTACAAATAAAATTGGTGACGAAGAAATGGAAATGAACAACCTTATTACATGAATGGTGTGGTGGATAAAAGAAGCCCATTGACTGTAAAAATGAATCTAAGAAGCTTATTGAGCATAGTAGTATTAAAAGTGCACTTTAAAGCACAGTTTGAAAGCGAACCAAAGTGATGTATTGACTTTGTACATTGCTTGCCTGTGAAGAAAAAACTCACAATAAAACGTGTGTGCCAAGCCATTTTGTCATGCCCTACTTTAGTAATATACACTCAACTTTGACTCTAGAAAAATTCCAGGTTCAAATTTTATATTTCAAATCAACATCTATTGTAAAACTAGAACAAAAATTTTATCTTCCCTTCCTTAATGGATTCTAGTATTAGTTATTGCTCACTGATTCACTATTCTCTCGCTTTAAGAACAGTCGCTTCTTCATGGTTCTCTCTTCATGCTCTCTTATCTAATGAATTTCTTATACATTGGTTTTTATTTCAAAGTGTATCATTTACATGCTTCTCAGTGACTCGTCCCAGCACATTCTTGCTTCATGCTATCTCCATATCTTAATCTCTAGAAAACTCTAAACCTTACACGTATTCTTAATTTTTCAGTCTTATTTCAACACTTGATGATTTATATTTTGATTCACTTTTAACTATAAATTACTATCATTGAATGAATCAATATTTTTATTGAAAATTATCACCAAATTTGGTTTAAATTTGTTAGATTAGATGAATAATGCATGCATGAGTGTATACATTTGAAATACAAAAAATCCTCATTGTTCTAGTTGGTAAGAAATTGTTCGCTCAATAAAGCAAAAAAGGAACACTTGAGCATTGCAATGCACTCGGTGATTCAAAAGCACCACTTATTTCACATAATCATGATAGTGAAAGCATTTGAAGATATGTTCATGATTTGGTATATACAAGAAAAAAATAAAAAGTTGAATGTAGAGAATAAAAATATTTAAAAGAACTAGGATGAAAGAATAACGACAAGAATAACTTTGTTGGAATGTGTAAAATGATTTACATAAACTGTATTTAAAGATACTTGCAGCTCTCACCAAGTATGAAAAAAAATGCATAAAATCAAGCTATTATAGTTGGGAAAAGGGCTAAGGATGATAAAAATGAAGATGCAACAACAACAACAAAATCTTAATCCCACTACGTGGGGTCGGCTACATGAATCCTTTTTCTCCATTGCGTCCTATTTAGTATCATATTTTCATTTAGTTCTAGTAAATTAAGATCATTTTTAATACAATAAGCCCAAGTCTTCCTAGGTCTACCTCTGCTTTTTTTAACACAAGTCGAATCTAAAACATCTACTCTCCTAATCGGATCATCAGATTGTCGATGTTTAATGTGACCAAACTATCTAAGACGGCTTTCTCTAATTTTGTCCGTCACAGGAGCTACACCAACCCTATCACGGATATATTCATTTCGCATTTTGTCTCTAAGTGTAAAGCCACTCATCCACCTAATCATTCTCATCTCGGCAAAAAATAATCTTTTGAAGAGACTTTGAATTTACCTGCGTATGACTTCTTACATTCGATCTCTATTCTTCCCAGGCCTTTATCTGGCAAAAAATAATCAAAATGGTCGACGTTTAATGTGACATCGATTTCAACATGGTAAAAAAATAATCTTTTGAAGAGACTTTGAATTTACCTGCGTATGACTTCTTACATTCGATCTCTATTCTTCCCAGGCCTTTATCTGGCAAAAAATAATCAAAATGGTCGACGTTTAATGTGACATCGATTTCAACATGGTAAAAAAATAATCTTTTGAAGAGACTTTGAATTTACCTGCGTATGACTTCTTACATTCGATCTCTATTCTTCCCAGGCCTTTATCTGGCAAAAAATAATCAAAATGGTCGACGTTTAATGTGACATCGATTTCAACATGGTAAAAAAATAATCTTTTGAAGAGACTTTGAATTTACCTGCGTATGACTTCTTACATTCGATCTCTATTCTTCCCAGGCCTTTATCTGGCAAAAAATAATCAAAATGGTCGACGTTTAATGTGACATCGATTTCAACATGGTAAAAAAATAATCTTTTGAAGAGACTTTGAATTTACCTGCGTATGACTTCTTACATTCGATCTCTATTCTTCCCAGGCCTTTATCTGGCAAAAAATAATCAAAATGGTCGACGTTTAATGTGACATCGATTTCAACATGGTAAAAAAATAATCTTTTGAAGAGACTTTGAATTTACCTGCGTATGACTTCTTACATTCGATCTCTATTCTTCCCAGGCCTTTATCTGGCAAAAAATAATCAAAATGGTCGACGTTTAATGTGACATCGATTTCAACATGGTAAAAAAATAATCTTTTGAAGAGACTTTGAATTTACCTGCGTATGACTTCTTACATTCGATCTCTATTCTTCCCAGGCCTTTATCTGGCAAAAAATAATCAAAATGGTCGACGTTTAATGTGACATCGATTTCAACATGGTAAAAAAATAATCTTTTGAAGAGACTTTGAATTTACCTGCGTATGACTTCTTACATTCGATCTCTATTCTTCCCAGGCCTTTATCTGGCAAAAAATAATCAAAATGGTCGACGTTTAATGTGACATCGATTTCAACATGGTAAAAAAATAATCTTTTGAAGAGACTTTGAATTTACCTGCGTATGACTTCTTACATTCGATCTCTATTCTTCCCAGGCCTTTATCTGGCAAAAAATAATCAAAATGGTCGACGTTTAATGTGACATCGATTTCAACATGGTAAAAAAATAATCTTTTGAAGAGACTTTGAATTTACCTGCGTATGACTTCTTACATTCGATCTCTATTCTTCCCAGGCCTTTATCTGGCAAAAAATAATCAAAATGGTCGACGTTTAATGTGACATCGATTTCAACATGGAATTTTTATAACATAACTTCTTATATTTTATCTTTTCTTACACATTATTATTTCACTGCCAACTATTTTTATTTATAAAAATTTTTTCTTTTGATTCACCAAACACATCTTTTGCTACTTTTTTAATAGTATTTATTACTTTATCCCACATAACATTTGTTTCTTCATGAATATCCCAAATTTTGAAATCTAGAATTTTACTCCTAAAAATAATTTTATTTGTCTTTTAAATTCTATATCTAATTCTACGATGATGAATCCTAGTATTCTTTATTTTACAACTTTTAATCTTAAAATCTAGAACTAATAAACGATGTTGGGTACTTAAATTTTCACTTGGAATGACCTTACAATGTTTACAATCGCGACGATCTCTTCTTCTCATAAGAAAATAATCAATTTGTGTTTTAAAAATGAAGATGCAAAAAAATAAATAAATAAAATATAAAAATATATAAAAAAAAGCTTATAAGCAACTTTAAAAAAATTTATTGAAATTAAAGCAACCCACAGAATAGAAGAAAAATCCAATTTTTTCTGTATGATCGAATCATTCCAAATAACATGTGATAACCGGAACATCCTTTCCCTAATAAAATTCTCCAAACTCAAGAGACTAAATAATTAGTCATAATTTTCTAGGACCAAGGGAAGCGGATTGAGCTATTTGATGCATAAAACGGCCTACCACAAATAACTACCAATATGACTAATAGAACAGATAGGAACACAGCCTAATTGATCATCAAGTTGTAAACATGATAAATAAATGTACCAAGCACATAAAAAAAAATACCTTATGAATGGAAAAATCATTGTAGCCATTTATTTCTTGAATTGCTCTCTCTAAAGTACACTCAAAGCCAAATACACCCTTTGGATACAAAACTTTAGCAATACGAACAACATCTTCATCACGATAAATACGTCGAACAAGTAGGGGATGATTGGCGATCTAAAATATGATAATGCATTAATTAGTATAAGTTCCCCATAAGAGATCAAATGACATGTTTAAGTTATGTACATAAGAGATCGAAGATGAAATAAACACATAGACAACATGGTACCTTACGAAATTGCATAAAATAATTGGATATCTGACGGCTTGAAAAGGGACAGCAAACATCATTGGGCATCCTGAATGAAGATTTAACGGTACGAGATTCAGAAGTTGCACGATAATCATTTATGGCATCATTGTATGCTGCAGATTGTTCCTTTCCCATTACAACATACTCAACCTGCATGATCAAAACGTTCACTACTTTCCAAAGGAAAAAAAAATAGCATAGTGTCAAAATAGTCCCCGACTATTTACATGGGGTCATTTTAATCACAGAATTTATAGAAGTACCAAAATAATCCTCAAAAATATTTTTAAAATTGTGCTTTAATTATCCTCCAGTGAGACTTTTAACCCCAATTAGAGAAGTCTCGGGACTATCTGGACATTTCTATAAACTTTGTGACTAAAACAGATCCATGCAAATAATCGGGGACTATTTTGGCACTTTACTTGGAAAAAAAGGTAGAGAGTTTTTCAACTTTTAGAAAAAGAAACAGCTGCAATAATAAAAAACCAGACTCACATGTTGTATTTTAGGTACAAGCTGCTGCATTACATCAGATTTTACACGGCGAAGAATGAATGGACCAAGAATAGATTTGATACGTGGAATTAGACTGGTGTCTTCCACATTCAGCAGCTTTTTCAAGTCAATATCTCCAGTTGTAAAAATATCAGGCATCATAAATTCCAACAAAGACCACAACTCCTGCGAACATGATGAAAATATTTCAAAAAGATAGAAAATAAATTCAAATAAATATAATAATTTGCAAGCATTATAACATTTCAGACATAATAAGAAATGGTGCTTTCCTTGTGCTTGGTTGCTAACCAGTCAAAGCAAACATAGACCATCTGTGCATTTAAGAAGAGTCTAAGAAAGGCTCAGTTTAAAATTGCTTCAATACTAAATAAAGCGAAAGCCCTCATAAAGAATAAAGAAAATGACTAAGAGTTGAAAAACATACAATGAATCCAAACCTGAACAAAGCAGACAAGTAGAAATGTCAGAAAGAGCCTATTCATTACTAGAATAAGTTGAATCAGGTTAAAATAAACTCGTGGTCAATAAAATCATAATAAATTGTTACTATAACCATATCTAAACTCATTTGCCAACTATTTAGGGTAGAGATTTGCACTATTTATTAATTATAATATTTTCTTATTATTGAAGATGCACTCGCTAATTGTTCTCTTCACTTAAATATCCATAAGCGCATATATGACTGTATCCTTTACAATTATATAACTTTCTTGATCCCTTCTCATGTCCTATTCTACACATTTCCTTAGCTACGAAGACATCAATCTGAGAAAATTAAATTAGAGAGTTCAATTCTAGTCACAAACAATTTCACAGACCCATGGATCTGTTTTTCGATTGTGCAGAATGGATCTCATTTTGTCGTCAATCTATTTAAAAAACTAATGTGTATTCTCTCACATGGATCTCACAAACTTTTCATTCACTATTTCATCTTTTATCATTATTATTTCCGAACTCAAGTTGGCATCCTCAATGTCACCTTAAGTTTGCACAAACATGATTACTATATATAAATCATAGCATGTACTAACTATATATTTAATGGGTATATTCAATACTTGTTAGTTTAATATTTATGTATTATTAAGGATATTCTTCTTTATTGTATTTTTCAACTGCTATCCTCTCTTGCCTATATGTAGGCTTATATGTTTGTACTAAAAAGGCAATTCAAAGAATAGTATTACTTCAGAATTCACTTCTAACAACAATCGTTGATTTTAGAAAGTATAATATCAAAATTTTGAGGAAATAGGTACTGAAACAAGGTCTAATTTGTTGTCTTTCCAACACTTCGGTAGTTTTGTTAATTATATTAACAGATCGAAAGTAACCATACACAAAAACTCAAAACAAATTTACCTTTCCTAATCAGCTGAGAAACAAAATTACGTCATCTCTAAATATAAACTTCAAGTTACAAATTGCAAATTAGAAAAAAAAACTATTTTTTTAACAAGCAAGAGACTAAAATTTATTGCATTTTGCAAAACTAGTACATGAAGACGCTCAAACTCATTGTTGATGGGTCAGAAAACCTCACACAAACAAAAAACTATTGTTCTTACTAAAATATACATGGATGTAGTCAAACTTCCAATCCATATAAGAAAACTGCAATTTCAGTTTTTAACTAGAATCACACAAAAACGTCATAAAACACTATAGCACTAACCTAAGAAGATGAAGCAAGAGGAAAGTATTCATTTAATTTTTTTATTTATCAATGAAAAGCATCTAAAAATTTATGGCACTGGTAAATGAAACATTTATAACATCATCGCAATAGCTTGTTTTGTATAGGAACTTACAAAACAACACCTAGATACAGAGTTCTTGCCTAAATTAAATTCTAGCCCTTTTGTTAGGGATGATAAATAGGTGAAATAGATGTTGATGAAAATAAGACTTGAGTTAAATGGTCAATTATATTAAATCATGATCAGATATGCTTGTTAGAATGTAATATCACAGAAATAAATGACAGTCTTCATGCATGCTTTTGAACGTCCTCATCTATCACCAGAGAACCCAAAAAGATTTCATCACAGAATATTATTTCAGAGAAAGCACAATGCTTCAACTCATATAAACATTCAAAGCTTAATCAATAAATTTCAATGCCTTTTTTCTTGTGTTTAATTTCCCTTTCCCTACATTATGTATTTCTAGATTCCAAGATATCACAATTGATGCAAGTCTGAAGTTTCAGAGGCCTACTAAACATAATAGAGGAAATCATGCTTCTAAACCAAAACTTACCATGGCATTCCATTTTATAAGCAACAGTTAAGCAATTGCACCATAGTGGCATCAGTTATGCATTCTTTCCTTTTCTCATATGTATCTTTTACTTCTACCACATACATTTACATCTCAAAGCCTATCATATCATGAAAATGCAGATTACAATTGCACGTACTGTAGAATAAACCTCCCATTGCATTATCTGGCACTTAGGGGTAGCCTATTACAGTACATGAGATTAGACGAGAAAAAAAATCCAGTTCTTGAATTTTGAGTTCAAATATTTGGTTCACAATCAAAAAAGGTAATATGTAATTTCAATTCAAAGTTGATTATGCTGATGGCTTTAGTGCTAAAAATAATAACAAACTATAATCACAAGCCACAATCTCACTTCGTAAATCATTAAATAAGAGACTATCATGTGGATTTAGAGTAAAATTTATATAAATAATATTATAAAAAATATTTATTATGAATCCAAATATTTTTATTATGAATCCAAATATTTTAAGAGGCTACTTGTTTTGAGGAATTTAAAGTGTAAAGTATTTAAAATGTAGATATTATAACAGGTATTTAGTTGAGAGAAAAAAAATCAGAATACAAGTTTACTGTATTTGAAATACACTGAGTAGTGTACTTCAGCCTCATTTTAAATTTGCCCGAAATCGAGCAAGAAACAAATACTGCACACCTCCCATTCAAGTTTTCTAACTCTGATAAGTGCTTATTTGCTCCACCGAGCAAACTACTAAGGAGATAAGAAGAGCCTTATCTGCAACCTCACCAGTGGAGCTGTTTTTGCTATTCTACCACCTGCTGTTGCCCTAAATCGACAGCAAATCTCCTCTAATAGCCACAAATTCAAATGCCTGCACCTCTTTCATCCCTTCCGGTCATCTTCTTTAGGTAACATTCTTTTTATTTGAACATTTCTAATATTGAAGAAATTATTTGCGTGACAAGCTCTCTGAACTGTTCAAAACGAATTTATTTTCTGACCTCACTTCGCATTTGTGACCGGTAGTTGACCATATTTATGCCTAATTGCTCTCCTTACCTAAACATTTAAGTGAGTCTGAGGGTCATTGGACCTCCTTGTGAGTGATTATGAGGATAAGTGGCTGGATAAGCTGCAGCTGCCCCAAACAGACCCTACATTTATATTCATTCAAGTTTTAAAATCATTAAATATAATGTTATTTCACAGATTTGAAATTTGTGGTGGCATTGTAAAAAAAATAATGAAGGCATCGAAGAAGATCAATTGAAGTTATTGTCAATCTTCCTCAATAAATTAGTTCTAAATTACTTCTTTTATTTTTATCACCTGATATATGGGTTTCATAATTAATTGTTTATGATATGAATTTCATAATCACATGGCATATAATATCATTCTTTTTTATATAAAACGGTTGATATTGTGTTACAGGATTTTGTAGAATTGATTTTTTTTTTAAATTGGATACTCATTTTTGTTTATGCTATAGATTACAACTGGTACTGACGGATCAATGTAGGAAATTCTATCATAAACTTGATATCATATCAACTTGATTTGAAAATTTTGCCACTATTCTGTCAAAAAATTTACAATGAGGAAGGAGAAGTACATTGAAGGCAAGAAAACTGAATTTTTTCTCGTTGGATCTATAAATAATAATTGGTAGAAGTTCCATTGCTAACGGAATTAAAAACTTTGAGCATCAAAATCATGGCTTCTTGCCAATCGAATGAAGGATTCCTTTTGGAAATTGGGTAATATCAGTTATTTCAAATACAGAAATTGACTTTTTTCTCATCTCAACATCCTTGTAATGTATGTAATTTACACAGGTTTTGCCTTTTTTTTTACTCCTGGTGAGAATGGTTTATGTTTGTGAAAACTCTTATGGATTGCATTATAATCAATCCGCTACATTTGAATGTTGCTTGTATAATTTGTTGCATTTTATTTTCATCAAATATTTTATGATAAAATATTTTTAGTTAGAGCCTTTTTCTACTTTCTATCAAAAATATTTGACATGTGACCTAATTGAAATGTGTGTTAACATGGGCTCTGAAGAGTGATAATCGATTACATGAAAATGATGATCAATTGTCCGATTCATATAACTTCCATCATGAAACAAAGTTGGGTTGGTTTCATTCTTCACCTCATGCGGTCAATGTTGTCGCAGCAACAGCCATAATTGGATTATTGCATGAAGAACTAAAAGGTAAAAATGTAATCATGAATTGAATATACAATGTCAAGTATATCTCACTAGGCTATATCTCGGATATGATTTTTCTTTTATTGATAAGAAATGAATAAGGAGACAACATTCTTTCTATGCATCTTGTTGCAAAAAAAAGATGATTTGTAGACACAATTTATATGCACATTGAAAAACAAGTTGCGATGTTACTACATGTACTCAAACATAGCATTTATGATTGAGTCATTCGAGTCAACTTTCAAAGATCCAGTGAAATTGTTAACAGGTACTTAAATGCTAGAATATGTCATAGAAGAGTTGTGTCATGAATTAATTAAGCCAACTGCTCCAGACTCCACATAAGATAGAAGTTCAACAATAAGTTCATGCCCTTTTTAAGATACAACCCATGCTTCATATTTAAATTCTTTTTACTTTATAGTATCTATTGTGATATATTTTACAATACAAGATGTATTGATTCTATAGATGAGATGTATATCAAAGCATGATTATTTAAGACGTATGAACTTATATTTAGAGTAAAAAATCATATCATAATGTACTAACAATTGTGAACTTTGATTTGAGGTTCAAATACAGTAAAGTTGAAAGGGAAAGTTCAATATATGATACAACTATTCTAAGAAATAAATTAGAACAATCAAATGACTCGAGTGTTCCGAAAGGTACAAAGAC